TTTGTTCATTCTCATTAACAAACATTTATTTATTAGATGTAACAATTTTAACTGTAACAAGACATTTAACGAATTCTCAAGTTTTGTTATTATTAAAAAAAACTGTTTCTTGTTGTACATCCTATAGTTGCTATAAAGATGCGTTATCTCATATATTGTATTCCAACTAAGCAGATAAGATAAAGTATTAAACGTATTCTTAAAACATTGGCTTTTTCCAAAATTAGGCTATATTTGCTTATCTTTTATTGTTCCAACAATAAACAATGATAGGGAAACATTGTATTATTGGGCTTTCTTAAAATTTAAACAAAGTTATTATGTTCTTAATTTTAAATACAATATACGTTGATCTAAGGACAATATATCAATGTATAGAAAATTTTATATATTTCTATTATAATAATTCTAATATATGGATAAACTTTACTTATGAACTTTTTTTAAACACTTTAAAGTTACTTTATTGATTTCAACATTGAAAAAATCTTATTAATATCTTATAATAATACAATTATAACAATTATTTACATTGATAATGTTAGAAATATTAACAGATTATAACTATTAACAGATATAGATGTTAGAGATATTAACAGTACTTTTACTATTTTTCGAGATATTTACTTGGTTGCGGCCATTTTCAATCTGTGAAGCTGTGTGAATTTTATTTCTTAAAGAATTTTTTACATATCACTCTGCTCTTCTTCTTAAGTGCCATCTCCGCGACGGAGGTTGGCAATTATCATGGCTATTCCGACCTTCGAGGCAGCTGCTCTGAACAATTGCCTTGAGCTGCAACCAAACCACTCTCTCAGGTTCTTCAACCAGGAAACGCGTCTTCTTCCTACGCTTCTCCTACCCTCTATTTTTCCTTGAATTATGAGTCTCAGGATGTTGAATCTTTCGCCTCTCATTACATGTTAGAGAAATTGCAAGTTCCTTTCTTTTATTGTTTTTTTCCATTTCCTTCTCTCTCTATCTATCTACCCATGGAATCCTTAGCAATCTTCTAAATGTTTACATTTCAAACGCGTTAAGTCGATTTAGTGTACTCCGGTTTAATGTTCATGATTCAGCTCCATAGTAGAGTACACTGTGTACATAGCATTTAATTAGCCTTATTCTGACGTCCAATGTCAGAGCTCTGCTGCATAAAATCTTTTTCATTTTCACAAATTTGGCACCTGCTTTTTCAATTCTGGCTCTTATCTCTGCAGTATAGTCGTTATTTTCTGGGATAACCGTTCCCAAGTAAGTATATCTTTTTACTCTCTCAATCTGCTGGCCGCATACCATTAATATTTTATTTGTATTGTTCATTTCATTCTAATTTTCATGAATTTGGTTTTTTTTATATTAAGAGGGATCCGTATTCTCCACTTGTAATGAAAATATTTTGCCTACCACATGAGGTATTAATATAAGCGATAGAAAATTTGGGACAGAAACTATGGGGGTGAAGATAGGGCAAGCAAAATAAACGCTAGTTATATATAACAAAAAGAAACAGGAAATACCTCTAGTAATTTAATATAGGGCGCCACTTCGAAGTGCCTAATTATAACCAATACAACAGCTAGTTGTAACTAGACAAATAATTATTAAACATAAAAAACATATATTTTTCAAATAAATCTCAAAAAAGGTTAGTTTAAAAAAAATTTACAAAACGAGAAAAACAAAATTTAATATTTATTGGTGTCTTATCATAAACATTTATAAAAATAATGGCACAAATTTACATATAGAATAATAGTTACAGAAAACAAGAACAACAAAAAAACTTACATGTGTCCTAGCCTTTTACAAACTCTGTTGCTACAAAACTTACAATATTGCATGGAGGTTAACCTTCTTTAAAAATAAAACAAATAAATGTCGAAAATAATAAAACGAGCTGTCATAAGCTAACAATAAATTTTAAATAAGAACTGATTACACAAATTGACAGCTAAAGTCAAACTCCAAAATTTTATAATTTATTAATTATTATAAATCTTTTAAATTTTAATGAAAGCAATTATATTATTAAAAAAGGTCTACTTTACTTTAAATATTTACACAAAAGTGACCTGGACTGCACTGGGTTTTACACTAGAATTCGGGAACTATAACTGGAACTAAACAAACTGCTTCAGGGACAAAGCAGAAACAGGGAGATTGAAGAAGAACTTTAACTGGAAACAAACTGGAACATCAAAATTGCTGCAGGCGAGACAAATCTCTTAAATACTTTTTTTAACCTCCTCTATAACTAGACCTACTTTACAATTTACTTTTCACGGCTACTTACTTCCATAAAAAGGAGCCAAAACCAGAAAACTACAAATTCGACGGATGATTTGGATCCATACCTGAGTCTACAGCGACCCAAATAAGAATGACAAAATTATCTTAAAAATTCGTTCACATAACTTGAAATAAACAAAACGCTGAAATGAACAAAAGACAATGAAAATTAATACGTAGATTATTAATTTGAAAACGCAGTACTTCGGGCGGCATAAATCAAAGAATTATCGACAGGAAAATACGCAGCCACGAAATAAATAAACAACTCTAAAATGGTTTTTATTACTTGGCGGCGCTAAAAGGAATTGACAGAATTCGGTGTTTTAATACATACAAATAGGAAACTGAAATACATTAAAAAATATTCTGCGATTCAAACGTATATGAGGGGATTTCAATATATTACATATACGAGGGGATTCCAATATATGCCAAAAAATCATTGAAATTACAAATGCTACACACTATATCTTAATATTTTGTTCATTGTTCTTTCTAAGTCGTCCAAGTTTTCGGCTATTATGACTGTATCGTCGGCATACGTAATCTTGTTAATTAAACTTCCGTTCACTTTTATGCCGACTGTCTCGTTTACCAAAGTTTCTTGTATGATTTCTTCAGAATACGCAATAAACAATAACGGCGACAGTATACAACCTTTCCTGACCCCTCTCCTTATCTCCATTTCTTTTGACACTTCTCTTCCAATTTTCACATTTGATCGTTGGCTGTTTCTTGATCTTGTTTTTGACTACTTCTATAGGTCGGTCATATTCTACTTTATCGAATGTCTTGTTGTAGTCTATAAAGCATACATAAAGATCTCGATTAACATCCAAACATCTTTGGGTCAGCACGTTAAAAGAATAATAGTGCCTCTCTTGTACTCCAAACTAGGAATCACTAATATCCATGTCCAGCTTAGCGTGTGTTCTATTATGGAAGATTTTTAGCAGAGTTTTTAAGGTATGTGACATTAAATTGATCGTTCGATAATCTAGTGATTATCGAACGCATGACATTCTTTGGCATTTACTTTCTTTGGTAGACAAATAAACGTTGATATCGGCATTTCACGTGGAATGATTCCTGTGGAATAGATTGTGTTTAGTAGTTGGACTAAAAGATCTATGTTTTTTCACTAACCAGTTTTAGCAATTCATTTGGTAATTCATCGGGACCAGCAGCTTTATTACTTTTTATGGATTTTACTGCATGCATAACTTCTGACTTTGTTATTTCGGGTCCCTCGTCTTCACTTTGATTATCTTCATATATATTTTCCTGTCTCTGGTCATGGAATAATTCCTCTATATATTATTTCCATCTTCTTAATTTTTGTTTCGTCACCACTAAAATGTTTCCTTGTTGTTGATACTGAGAAATAAATGTTGATATTCTTTTGCCTTCTTCTGTCCTCCATCATTTCCAAGATTTCTTCTGTCATCCAATCTTCTTTCTTGAATTTGGTTGTTGTGAGTTCTCTGCGACTTGGTTCAATAACTGCATTTTTTAAGAATTGCCACTGTTGTGCTACATCACCATTAATCGATTCCGGTGTGGATTCTAGGTTTGCATTAATTTTTTGTTTAGCTTAGTTTTTATTTGACGTCTTTTGATTTTAATTTTTGTATGTTCAGTTTATCACTTCTGGAGCTTTTTGTATCTTTTTTAAATGAAGTTGGAATTTTGCTACAAGAAGATTGTACGCCACGTCTGCACCTGGGTACGCTTTCACTGATTGTATTGCGTTTCGGTATCTGTGGTTTATTAAAATATAGTCAATTTAGTTTCTAACAATTTTATCGACCTTGTCAGCTGGCGATTTCCAAGTGTAAAGACGTCGTTTAGGCAGTTTGAAGAAAGTATTCATTACCGCAAGATTATGTTCTAGACAGAATTCTATAAGGCGTTCTCCTCTCTCATTTCGAAGACCGAGTCCATATGGTCCTACAGTAGACTCACATCTTTCTTCTCCAACTTTGGCATTAAAATCACCCATGACTATAGTTATATCTCTAGATGTTGTATCTTGTAGGATTTTTTGAAGGTCGCCGTTAAATTTTTCAATTTTTTCCTCTGTTTTATCGGCGGTTGGCACATAAATCTGAATAAGGTTTAATTTCCTATGAGTATAATTTTTAATTTCTTAATCTTTTAATACTTTACCGGCAATAATTCATAACTATCGGTTTAGCAGTTTTCAAATCTTAGCTAGAATCATTTCGGCTTAACTTTTACTGCTGATTTCCATTTCTTGGAATAAAAAAACGAAAAACTAAGTGAAAACACATGAATCTTAAATGACAAGCATTGTCATAACAAAATACAAAGTTGATCTTATTGTCAAAGCCGTTACCTAGCCCAAAATCGTCCCGAGAGTGAAAAAATTAATCCCGAAAGTAGCTTTCGGTACGAGTTATATAAAATGGTACTTTCGATTTAATAAATGATACCAAAAGTTTTATTTTCGAGACGGCTGCAGAAAAATAATATTTGAAGATGTAATAATAGAATAACCAACAAAGTAATCACGAATGAAACATCACGAACTGTATTAAAGTATTAGAGTTGGGTTCAAGTTGTCGAAGTGCTCAATCTTCAAACATTAGTCAAACTATAAATTGTCTGACCTTAAAATGTAGTAAAAAGAATAATATGTTATGATTAGAATCAATACTTTAACGTTATTTTAATTTTTGCAGTTAGTTGGACTGTTGCTGATATCCATTGGATATACCATTAAGGCTATCTATACCGATTTCGACGCTTTTCTTAGCAATCATAACTACAAAGCATCCGATTTAGCCATTGCTGTTGGGTTCATTATTCTAGTGGTTGCTTTGTTTGGTTGTGCAGGAGCAATTAGGGAAAGTGTTCTACTGGTTAATCTAGTAAGTACAATAGTTTTAGATATTTTTTACACATATAGAATAATTTTTTTTAAATACCAAATTGCTGGTTTATACTTAAGACAAACATTTCTAATTTATCTAGCAATACAACAAAATATATTATCGATAATTAAACAATTTGAATCGGTTTAACTGGAAACTAAATGTTAAACGTGAAATATCTGTATATCTACTGCCAGGCTCTGCGTAGTTTTTTAGCTACTTACTTACTGAATCCGGATCAATTCTTTAAATCTTTTGTCAACTCTGATCATCCGGTTTGGTTTTGTATTGGCTGTACTGAGTCAACGGACTACTTGTCTCTAGTAAATACAATCCAATAGGTGTTCAACGTTCTGTATTTTGGCACAATTCGCCTTTCTCTGAATACACTCACCAATTAAAGGTCTATTAAGGGATCTTTATACCATTTAAAGTAATTGGTTCTCCTCATCAAGTTCTTCGTTCGGATCTAGAGTGTTAAAGGACAAAGTTTCCCTCCAAATGCGAAGGCAACGCTATTCAGCAGTGGTTTTTATTAAAGTCGTGTAAATCATAAACTTAATAACATTCTGAAGCTAGTTTCTTGTCGTATTTTAAGCAATTTTTTAATTTAATTTAGAATAAGCCACAATTCTACTTTACAATAAGTTTAGACCATTTCGATTTCTGATTCGTAAACCGATTTCCCAAAATATTAATAAATTGAACAAATTTTGTTTTTTGTTACTAAATAAAAAAAAATTTCTTGTAATTTAGTTTTATCTAACTCATTCTACTGACAACTCATACATACAGTATATATTTTAAAGTGGACGACTTTAAAATGATTGTCAACATTGTTTTCAACGCCTAACAGAAGTATTTAATAATATATATTTAAGCGGAGTTATATTAAGAACATGGCTGAAGTCGATGTTTATCGCTTTAAAAAAGAAAAGAAAATCAGATTCCGACGATGATTTCCGTACCATCAGCTTAATGATCCATCGTTTAATGGTATTTCGAAAAACCATATATTAAATATATATATATATATATATATATATATATATATATATATATATATATATATATATACTGTGCGAAGAAAAAATCAGCCATATACAATTTAATTTTTAGTATGCAGTGGATACGAAAGAGGCTCTCTTTAGTATACAGGTGCCATTTCAGCCATGTAGAGATGTAAACTGCAATATTTATGCATGTTTTGTTGATTAGAATAAAGTTTTCGATACAGTTAAGCACGACAACCTGATGGAGATATTAACAAATACATGAAAAAACATCTGGGATCTAAGAATTATTAGCAATCTTTACTGGAATTAAACATCGTCTATCCATACAGAGGCAGGAGAATTGGAGGGTATAAAAATCAAACGTGGGGTCCTACGGACATGGATACTATCACCTCTGCTGTTCAACATATACTTTGAGGAAATCAAAAAGCAATAGACGATGTTGAAGCCGGAACTCAAATTTATGGAAAATGTATCAAAACATCAGATACGCGGACGACACTGTGGTATTCGCTGAGAGCTAGAAAGCCATTCAGGAGTTAATGAATAGAATCAGAAATATAGAATTTTATTAAACATTAAGAAAACATAATGTATGATGATCTCTAAGAAAGAACAGCAATTTGGACGAATTAGTGTGAACAGAGAACGAATGGAAAAAGTTAAAACATATCTTCGTACAAATGTCAATAAAAATTAGGACCATTTGCTAGAAATTAAATGTAGGATAAGGAAATCAAGATCTGCATTTCAACAATGGCTAAGCTATTCAAATGTGATGATTGATTAATACCCTTAAAAAGAAGGTTACAGCGATGTATATATTTAGTATACGAGTGTACGGAGTTGAGTCGTGTACTCTCACAGAGTGGGTTGGTCGTTTGTGTATATATTGAAGAGCATTGGTGCTAAAACACTTCCCTGTGAGAGGCCGTTTTTTTGAACTCTCCACCTACTTACTTTACCCTCCAGCATAACGAAAAAAACGTCTATTTTGCAGTAAGGAATATACGACCTTTCCCAGATGGTGGTCATTGAGAGTGTCGTATAATTTGCGGAGCAATGTTTTGTGCCTTACTGTGTCATAGGCTGCTGTCAGATCTACAAAAGCAGCAGCTGTTATAAGTTTTTTTTCAAAGCCCTCTTCAGTGTGTTCTGTTAATGCGAGGACTTGACCGGTGCAAGATTTGAGAGGTCTGAATCCTCCTTGTTGTGGGATGAGGTGCTTGTCGACATTTTTTTCTATTCTGGCGAGTATGAATCTCTCGTATAGTTTAAAAAAGTGACACAATAGCGAAATAGGTCTGTAGCTACTGGGGTCTTCTGGATCCTTTTCTGGTTTTAGCAAGGCTATTACTTTAGATTTCCTCCATTATTTTGGAATTTTGCAGGTTTTGCAGCACGTGTTATAAAATTGCAAGATTCAGTTTTTTGCTCCTTGGCCTAAATGCTTTATTAGTTCACTGCATATATCATCCACACCTGCAGCTTTCCCGTTTTTTAACCTGTTCAGACCGTCGTGGAGTGCTTTTAGTGTAAAAGGAGTTGCTAGGTGGTTTGTCTCCGAATTCAATCTTCTCCTAGTGTTTGGGTCCTTATCTCGGTTAGTAGTTCTTCCATTCGTAAGGAGTTGAGTAGCGGCTTGGTTTGCTATAACCTTGCAAGTTGGTTTATGTTCTTTTGGATCACCGCTGAGTTTTTTTACAAGGTTCCATGCTATTTTGCTACTATGTGTCATGTCCATTTTTTCCAGGGTCTCAATCCACTTTTCCTGTCTGGCTTGACTTAGCTGTTGGAGTAGTACTGCTCCAGAGTCAACCGTTTCTTGGCTAAAAGGGTCAGAGGGTGTCGTATATTCTCATTAGTTCTTTGGACTCGCTGGACATCCCGGGAACATATTGTTGTCTACATCCTCTAGGGATAGTTTTTCTAGACACATTTTTGAGTACGTCTACGAATTTTTCGTAGTTCTCTACTTTTGGTTCAAGGCGTAGTAGTTCAAAATATAGCATGACTGCATACTTTTGCCAGTTTGCCTTTTTGAAGTTAAATCTCCTTCTGAATGGAATAGCTTGTGGTCTGACAATTGGGAAGATATTTATACCAATTGGTCTATGCTAAGTTTTTGGTATGGGGCCATATACTACTTTGGTACATCGGTCTTTGAGGTTGTTGCTTTAAAAACAGATATCCGGGTTATCTCCTCTTTTCCAAACTTTGCTATGAATAGATGGTGGAAGTTTAGGATCATGGATTAACGCGAGGCCACTCATTTCGACTCATGCTTCTACTGCGTCTTCATTTGCATCCGAATCTGCATAGCCCCAGAGTAAACTGTGACTGTTAAAGTCTCCCAGTACAAGCTAATTGGCTTGTGATTGAAAATTAGTTGGGGGTGAAAATATAAAAGGCGGGTTTGGGGGCTTGTATACCGATCTTATTGTGCATTTTCCGATCTCAGTGGTTATTATCTCTATACCGTGTACATTTATTGTTTCCACAAATGAGACTATGGTTTGAGTTCTCACAACTACCGCGCTCCCATGCTTATTGTGTGGCATCTCCGCAATCAGTTTCATACCAGAGACTTTCGGTCTCGCTGCAGTTAGGTATCTGTGGGTTTCCTGGATGCACAATACCTCACATTTCGTGTTCTTGCAGAATTCTGATAAGATGTCTTGTTTGGCTGTAGTGATGCCCTCGATATTTATGCTCGCTACTATGAGTGTTGGCTCTGAGAAGAACCGTTGTTGCTTGATCTTTGCCATCGGATTTGGTTTGGTCCGGTGTTGGAAGGATTAGCCGTCTACTAGTAGACGTTTCCAGGGGACGCCGTCAATAGTGTTTACTTTGCAGTTGATGTGGCACTATTTATCTTGTAGAGGCTCCTTCCTTGTCCCCCTTGTAAGATTTTAGTATTATCTTGTTTGGCCAAATATAAGACAGAGCTGGTTAGTTTCTTATTTTTTTTGATTGACTTGGTCTTACAAAATTTTTGTTGTGGTACTCAGCACTATTAGCGCAGTCAATAATTTCTTTTCTATGTTCTCGAAATATTTTGTAGACAGCCAATGTCATATTATTGGCATTGATAAAGCGTCTCGTTTCAGGTGGCTTGATAAATCGCTTTTATGAATGTTTTAAAGGATCGCTGAACACCATTTTGTTTTATTTTTATAGCGTCTTTGGATTCGTAATAAAATAGCTTTACAGGTATTAGCGAAATGGATGGTATTAAGTAGATGGTATTATTAGCAGAAATATTTTGATAGCAAATTTCTTTGTTTTTAACTTGGTTTCTAATTATAGCAGAACATTTCACTAATGTGATCCTTGTATCGACAGTGTAAAGGTTATAGATACAGATTTTTTGTGGATCTAGAGTTTGATGCCGCAACTGTAATTGCGTTAAGAAATGTCTCGATTTTTTATACTGAGTTTTGAATATTTTTAAAATTAACAACTAGTTTTAAGTTAAAAAATATTTTTTAAAACACACCGATCAGCACGAGAATCGTTCCAGTTTGCTGCTAGGTGGGTAGTAAAAGATTTATTTGGTTTTCTCTATGTATGAGAAGATAATCTAAACCTAACGTAGCTATTGTCCTGGCCAATATACACGACGACTTATTAAGGTTAAATCTATCACTTGATAATTTTCAGAAAGTGCAGTTCTGATTGATATTCTATCTTTTGGATGCATTTATGTAAAACTACCCGTTATACACCAAGTGCACGGTTCGATTGAAAATAAAAGTCTAATGTTAGCAAAAATGTTTATTAATTAAAAAACAGTTTCAAAAATAAAATATAAAATGTTGGTTACACTGGGAAAATAACGAAAAGCTTATTTCTTATGGATCTCTTAATAACAAAGTAAAGAAAGAATAAAATCGGGCATGGTAATCTTATCCGTTTACCGCGCCGTCAAACCAAACTCTCTTTTTCTTCTACTTTTTCTTCTTCTTAGGGTGCGTTCCG